ATTTAAACAAGGGTGGGGATGTAGCTCAGTCTGAAGGGTTGAATTCAATACCAGCACTACTTAAAAAAAGAAAGAAAGAAAGAAATAAAATGAAGGGAAAGAAAAGCGAATTTCTCCCTCTAGGATCTATTAGACTAAAACAGTAGTTACAGTAGTTTATACAGCTATTATATTATCTGAACATTTGGGAACCAAAACCAAGCAAAATAATGATGAAAAATGCAACCTATGATTCATAGAATAACTCCTAACAGGGTTTTTTTGGGGGAGCATGATGGGGAATTGAACTCAAGACTTTGTGTGTGCTGGGTAAACGCTGTGCCACTGCGCTGCCACAAACAGTTTTTATAGCAGTTGCATTGGACCTTAGCCAGAGCTGTTCGAATCACCATCATAAAAAAGATGGCTGATGAAATACACTGACCATTAATATTAACCCCTATAAGCAAAGAGAAGGCTTAGCTTCACTTTGCCAGTAAGTAGCAGTTTTGATTTACAACTAGTAAGTCACCTCCACATTGGGCACATTTGCAAGGAAAACACATTAGGTCTGTAGCAGCTTCAATGTATACCATATTTGGGGTGACAAACATAAACATATCCGTTTTTATTAGAACTTCAAAGAAAAGCAGTTCATGAGATGACAACGGTCAAGCCGGTCCTAGCTGGTGGCAGTGGTGCCATTTATCCTTTCCTGCCATAGTTGCCTTTTATGCAACTGGATGATGAGTGGGAGGAAGCTGTACCCCGCACCCTGCTACCATAGGAGCTTATCTGCTTTCCCTCGGTTCCAAAATGTTTTGCAATATAGAAACATTTAATATCACCAGGTGGTGCACAAAATACCTTCTAACTTTCAAAGAGTCTTCAAGTCTCAAAAGCACTGACTGAAGTGGATCATTACATGCAAGAGTGACCCCAGGAGAACATATTTTGAAAAAGTACATTTTTGTATTTGAAATGAGTCACAATGATTAGGTATACACCGAAATCCTAGTTTGCCTGAGTCATGGCTGTATTTATTGCTAAAACATTTAAATATGACATTTATTGACTACTTTTTGTTTTTGCAGTGCCCTGGGATAAAACCCAGGAACCACTGGCAAACACTCTACCACGAAGGCATACCTCCAGTCCAGATTACCATATTTTTAAAAGAAATAAATTTCCCTTACTGTCTCTGGTGGATATTCACTTGATAAAATTCATCTGATATTATGAAATTCTAGTTCAAATAATTTTTCCTTGGAGGAAACTCATTTATTCAAACATCCATCAAAGGAGAAACAAGTTTTACTCTAGCCCAGAGTAAAAGGCAGCATCAGAATTTGAACTCTTATCTCCAAACTCCCTAACCGTGGCCATCACATGGTTCTAGTCAGACAGCTGTCACAGAAACTGTTATGTTACTCACTTCACCGCTCCTTGCCAATCCTCTCATCATTTTATCCCTCGGATAAAGCAGTCATTCTGTGAGGCTGCGTCACATCCATTATGGCATGTTAACATGTACACACTGCTATAGTACACAGCTCTGTAATACTATGGGGGACATTTTCTGGTGGGAAATTTCTTCTTTCGACCAGTGAAGATAAACATTAAATTCTGAGTAAAGATAGAAACTAAATAATTGCACCCAATTTGCACTGCAAATTTGACTTGAATGCTTGAAAATTACTAACATGGTGATGACAGAAATTTGAAAGGAACACCTAAGTAGGAATACTGCCTGGAGTTCTGTTTTCTGAAAAATACATTCTTAAACTTTTAAGTACCACAAATTCAGTCCTCTAAAGAGAAGGTGTTATTAGTTTTTTTTTTTCTATCCTGACTTAGATGCAATGATGTAATTTTAGAGATTTTTTGACTACTACAACTGTAAGTTACATTGTACTCTACAATACATTACACCAATGAACCTGAATCAGGAAAAGAACTGTTTTATCTTGGTATCAAAAACAATGGACATACAAATTGCAAAACAGTTCAAAATAGTTACCCGAGGAAACAATGTTCAAATGAATGGTTGCAAAGGGAAGATATGAAAGTAAATAAATCACTTTTCAAACTTGGGAGCCAGTCTCTTCTGCCAGTACTGGGAGCAACATCTCCAGCCCTTACCTTTTATTACTTTGCAAACTTGGAGTCAGTTGGGGTGTGTGTGTGTGTGCGCCTCCTTCGGCTGTAGGGGGATGGAATTCAGGTACAAATGATCTGTTTTTCTCACTGCACTTATTGCATAATCACTAAAACTCAAAAGGAAGAGGACTGACTGGTTAAATTCTTAAACTTTATTTCCTGCTGACTTAGACGATCTTACTGATACACTAAATTTAAATATTCCCATTCTCCTACTGTCGTAAGACACTCAAGTTGTGTTAGCCTCAAAGGACTCAACACAGCACCAGTCCTTTAAATCATCGGGGAAGTTAAAAGCAGGATATTAAACCTAGGATAGTTTCCTCTTTAGGAGAAATTTCTCTTGACTTCTTAATTAAAATAAACGGAACAAGCGGCCCACCAAACAAAGTATAGCGGAAAACTTAGAGGAAAAAAGAAATCACAAGTTATTGTACATGGGGATCCACTTTCACTAGGGACGCAAAGGTTGAGCCTCAGGCTCCTTTTGATAACTTTGTCCTGACCACGGAGGCTAGTTGCTAGACCTCCGTCCGGCCAACGCCTAGGTGCAGGCAGGACGCAAGCCCTCCGCCCGCAGCAGGGCTGCAGTCCCTCTCCACGGCGCCCTGAGCCGCACGGAGGCCCCCGCTCGGCCCCGCGGCAGCGCTCCCAGCCCGAGCCCGGACGGTCCTCTCGCCTGGGCGGCCACCCACGTGCAGACCACCTGCCCCTCCCGAGCCCACGGCGTCCGCGACCGCGGCTTGGGGCAGCGGCAGCCGGACGAAGTCAGGGCCGGGCACAGCGGGGCTCCGAGCAAGTCTGAAGCCAGGAACGGTCCCTGCCCACCCTCGCCGGTGGGACGCAGGCCCAGGCCAGGAAAGAGCCGCCGCCGCCATGATGCGACCGGCCGTGCCGGGGGGCGTGACGCGGGCGACCCTGCGCTCCAGGCCGGCTCCCCGCTCCTCCGACTCTCCGTGCCCCCGGCCTGGGCCGCGACCACAACCGACCCGGATACTCACGCTTTGTCCACCAGCTCCCGCACCTTCCACATGTTCAACATCTTGCCCCACGCAGGCCGGGATGCCACCTCGGTCTCCAGCCTCCCACGGCCCCCAGGACACTTCCGTGCCGGGGCAGGTCCAGGCCCGGGTCGCTGCCGTCGCCCGCCGCCTGGAACTCCCCAAGTCAGCTCCTTCCCTTGCTACAGCCACGGCGCCACCGGTGACACGTCGAGACGCGGCGGCACAGGCGCTGCGTAGACCGGAAGTGCCCGCCTCGGCACCCTGCGCGCGAGGCACGCCGGGACTTGTAGTTTTTCTGCGCCAGTGGAGAGACCGAAGGCGCCGGTCGCAGGGGCTTTCTCCATTACCTCAGACCTACGGAACCAGAAACACTCCCTTGGGGCATAGTGGTCGACGCTATAACAAGTCCTCCAGGTGACTGTGGTGACGTGCAAATTTCGCAACTATTGTTTTAAGATCTAGCCACGTTATTCTTTGAAAATGTATTATTAGTGATTATACGAAAGTGTAGTGGTCATTCGTACAGTATTCTCATTAACGGATATCTCGCTGTATTTGCGTATTAATGCCCCAAAGAATTTACATCTCTGAGTCTTGTTTTTCACCCCTATTTTCTGAAGAAGTTATATTCTGATTCTGTGGTAGAGTGGTTTTATATTTAGAGCACTACTTGGTACTTGTAGTAACCACCTTATTATAGGCTTTGCAACTCAGTTCAAACCCTATAGAACACTACAAGGCACACATACACTTTCGTATTTATTGTACATATACATACATACACATACATATATATTTTATATGTAACAAGAATTTGGCAGGTTCATAGTCTTTTTACTTTTTAAAATATTTAAAAGTATGTTCAGGTTTATATTATTAAAGCATAAATACACGCACTTCCAGGGTATAGGTGCAATGATTGTCGTCCCTTTGTTTTTCATGTATTCATTTCTGCCCATGCTAATGAAAAAAAATCAAGTAACCTTAAATTTCACGTGGTCTGCCTTGCTTAAATTTTATAGTTCTTCTCATTCCACAATCCTCTTAATCCCCCATCTGTGTGGAGAATTGACTCCAGGGCCTTGACACTGAACTATCACTCTAGCCCTTCTTTTTGTTTTTTATTTTGAGATACAGTCATGCCCATACTGGCCTCAAACTTGTAATCCTGCTACCTGAACCTCTCAGACTGTTGAGGCTACCAGCATGTACTGCCACAAAAGACTGTTTAACTATTGACCATCTTCTGTGACCCAGAAATGGGAAATAAGACTGGAGCCCCAGTTCTCTTGGAGCCTGAAGTGTGTTGCAAGAAATGATATCACAACACTTAATTACAAATAAAGGGGCTTGAAGAAAACAAGGCAATGCTATGAATAATGATGTTGCAGAAATTAATGTTTAGGGAATATTTGGGCCCCCTATGAGGTAATTGTATTAAATATGAAACCAGAATGATAAAAAAGGAACTGGATATTAAGAGAAAATCTACAAGAAATGATTTGTTGTTGACCTCTTTCTCATTTTGCAAGATGGCAGGTGAAAAAACTGAGAAGCCAGATGCTAAAGAGAAGAAACCGAAGCCAAAAGGCTTCCAGTGGTACTGGTAAAAAGGGTAAGGTGAAGGCAAAGAAGTACAAGAAGGGGCAGCCCCACTGCAGCCAAAATCCTGTCCTGGTTAGAGGAATTGGTGGATACTCCAGATCTGCTATGTGTCCCAGAAAGGCTTTCTACAAGAGAAAGTTTACAGCTGCTAAATCAAAGGTTGAGAAGAAAAAGGAGAAAGTTCTTGCTACGTTCACAAAACCGCTTGGTGGGGACAAGAATGGAGGTAGCTAGGTGATTAAGCTTTGAAAAATGCCTAGATACTACCCTACTGAAGATGTGCCCCAAAGCTCTTAGCCATGGCAAAAAACCCTTCAGTCAGCCTGTGAGGAAACTTTGAGCTAGCATCATTCCCGGTACCATCTTGATCATCCTCACCAGGCGTCACAGAGGCAAGAGAGTGGTCTTCCTGAAGCAGTTGGCCAGTGGCTTGCTACTTGTGACTGGGCCTCTTAGCCTTAATTGTGGTCCTCTACGAAGAACATACCAGCAATTTGTCATTGCCACCTCTACAAAAATTGGTATCAGGAAAGTGAAAATCCCCAAACACCTCACTGATGCTTACTTCAAGAAGAAGAAGAAGCTGTGGAAACCCAAACACCAGGAGGGCGAGATCTTTGACACCAAGAAAGAGAGATAACAGATTTCAGAGCAGCGCAAGGTATATCAGAAAGCAGTGGACTCACAGATTTTAGCAAAAATCAGAGCTGTTCCTCAGCTCTGGGGCTATCTGGAACCTGTTTTTGCTCTGACTAATGGAATTTATCATTATAAATTAGTGTTCTAAGTTTCTTACTAAGAATCTAATTAAATAACTGATACTTTCTTTAAAAAAAGATTTGTTGGTGAAGGAAATAAAAGACTGATTCACAAAGAAATGAATTGATGGTTGCTAGTCATGAAACTAAATAAGTGATTCCAGAACCTCCAACCCCTGATCTTCCAAGTCATACCAACTCTACAAATTGTGACAACTTGCTTATTGGAAGCAGGTTCGAAAGAGTTTAGGTAAGACTTTGGGAGAGGAGCCCAGGAGAAGCAAACTGAAGAATTGCTAGAATGAGCAAAAATCAGGGCAAAATCAACTCAGAAATTTATCAACTAGGAGTCCTTAGGAATCACATAAAGTCATTGGGTGTAGTGGATGGGCAGGTAAAAGTGAGTAGAGAGAGGTAGAGGAATGGGGCTTTCAAAATGAAAAGTTTGTGTTTCTTGTGAAACGGTTGGCCAGCCCAAGGTTCAAAGGGTGGAATGTGGCCAGAGAAGGTATGGAGAACTACTTTGTGTAAATAAGAGCTCAGCAAGTTAACTTTCAAACAAGCAAGTGCAGAGTACACCTGCAGAATGGTTTCGCCCAAAAAATAACCACCTACCCTGCCCTGGGCTTGTTTGTGTGTTTACAGCAGTACACAGCCAACTTCACCAGAGATAGCCACAAAATACAATGCCATTGTGTAAGTTTCCAACACCAAATATGAGTGGAACTAGACTTATTTCAGAATGAACACTGTGGCATTTCTGTCTGCTGGGGCCATCTAGAATGTCACACAAAAAAACCTGTGTTTACCTCCCACTCCAGAGAGCCCCCAGAGGCTCAGAAGAATCATGCCAGAAGAGTTGATTAAAAAGTGGTCTCCAGGGGCTACCCATTTTCATGTCAATGAAGTGTCCCATTTTTACCTTTTATTTTACAAGTTTGAGAGCAGTTTCCATAGTAATTTCTTTGTAGCAATTTAAATACGTCCATGGTAGAACAATGAGAAAACAGCCTACCCACTCCTCTTTAGGAAAGCATACTTTTTTCCAAATGAACTGACACAAAGCAATACATGTTTTGAAAGAAAACAGCTCATCTGTGTTAATTACATGTGAGGAACAGCTATAGACAGTAGACGCTGACGGCTTATCTCATGTGCTTCGCTCCCTGGTATTTCCTCTGGAGAAATTTAATTCCTGGTATGAAGGTATGGTAGCAATGGAAAGACCTCTGTGTAAAAGAACAAGTTGTAGAGCATGGTTGGCTGACACCTCTCACAGCCTCTTTTTGAGGATTATTTATGCCAAGGCCATGATCAAGGTATGTTAGAACTGGGCCATTTCTGCCCAGTGTGGGCTCCTCTTGTCGGCAATCCTTGCTGTCCTGATTACCTCAGAGCTTCACTGCAAGCAGGCATTCTTCTTACATAGTCTTCCATCTTTCCCTTCACAAAATGTCCCTGTAGTTTGGTCCTCTAAAAAGCTATTCTTGGTCTCTTTTCCTTTTTACTTTCATAGACTTTCTCCAAGTAGTGTTTCTACATTTTATGATTCCTTCTTGTCTTTTGCTTCTTGCAGTACCCAGTGACCCGGAGGCAAACATGTGGACCTTGGTTTTGGTAGGTAGAATATGAGTCTTCTTTTTTTATTGCACCTGATTACTCCTGTTCTTTAGAAGTGAGCACACAGTACTGGGTTTCTAATCATAATTGAGGGTTGTCACAGGTCGTGCAGATTATATGTTGTGCAATCCTAAAGGCGCCATTTATGTTGACTCTCATTAATTACTAGACAACCAATGATAGCAAGAGCAGCGCTTAGATGGTATAGACGCAGACAGCAGACAAATCTGTGCACAAGTGCTGCATCTGCTATTCAGAATGCTGGTATGAGTCAGTGTAGTGTAATGGTATGAACTGGGAGTTTAGATCCAGGCTGCCAGAGTGGGTGATTGGTGGATTTACTATACTGGGAGTTCATTTAGATTGCTCACACTGAGCTTTAGAAAATGAGTAAATAGACCGATAGTAGGTAAACATAGCAAATGATGTGTTGAGAATCAAGTCAATAAGTTGCTTCATGTTGAGCCCTGCGTTTAGTAAATACTAACTAAATTCTACTTCATTATCGACTCCCTTATATGGATTTAAGGTGTTTTTTTTTAATATAAACTGAGGAGTTGATCCATTAAAGTCTCCTGAAGTTAGCCATTCATCAGAAATACATGGCTGTGTTTAAAAACTTCGGATTCTCTGTCCAAACTTTTGAATTTCTGATTTAGTTTGTTCCCTACACTCTTCTTGGGAGAGAAACTCCTTTACAACTGGCTAAAGGCAGGCTTGGTGGTTTACACATGTTACCTCAGGCCTGGGACTGAGATAGGACACTGAGTTTGAGGCCAACCTGAGCTATAAATAAAGCAAGTTCAAGTCCAGCTTGTACTACATAGCAAGACCGTGACTCAAAAACCAAACTAACATTGCCAGTCAAGCAGAAGACCCAATACTCTTATGGGCTACTGGACTCTTTTAGAATATTTTGCTGAGTTCACACACCTATAATATTCAAATAACGGAACTTAACAAAAAAACCATATACAGATGAATGTCAATTTTGTATCTGTGTATTCAAAGTGGTTAGGATAGATATATAGTTATATTCTCTTAATAAATAGAGTGATTTGTTCTAATGGTGTTTGTAAGTAGGATATCATGTTTGCATCTTGTACAGCAATTAACCGCTAGGAAGATTGCATGCAATGTGTTAATTTGATTTGAAACTGTCTCATTGCTATTTATCAATAAAATTATGGGAAAAAAAACCAAACTAAACCAAACACACACACACACACACACACACACACACGCACACACGCGC